CTTCACCTATCCTTAAACATACTTATTCTGTAACTGTCTTATTCTCAAAATCTTTTTGAACAAAAGTATTCATGTGGATTTTAAGTACAACATGCAAACTTTTGGTTTTGGATAGAGTTTGAGGTATTGTAAGGATAGCTGAGCTTATGACAAACACCACTGTGATTTCCTATAGGATAGTGGCAAAGCTGATAAAAACCTTGAGAGGAGTTTGATTAGAGTATGAAGCAGCTGGGATTAGGGTACCAATATGCAGGAAGACAGCAGGTTGAAGCTTACTTATAGCTTTTAAAAATAACAAGCTATACTAGGTTCCATTGTATGAGCATGATTTATATCTTTCTCTTACTTTTTGTGCCTAGTGCAAAATTACTGTGGTTTATTTAGGCATGATTATCCTTCTTTCTTGAGAGCAATATCAGAAAATGTTTAGCAGTAGAGAAAGAAACCAAAAAGGAGATCTGATGGCCTCAAAATCCTATAAGAAATGCTCAAGTAATTCATTGATCAAAATAATAATAAAAATGGTGAAGTATTTAAGCAATGGAGCTTTCTGCAGAGGAATGTCAGTTACTGATGCTGTTTTGTGTACAATATCATACACAACCAGCTCTGCTTTACTCTTTGGGTTCTGCCTCTATTTTTTCCTTATTTCAAAACAATTGTTTTTAAGTACTACCACCTCAAATCTGGTCTGATGAATTCTATATTAATTAGTACGTTGTGCTAATTTTCATAACTGCTGCCGCACTGAACTGATTGTCTTCCTCTCTCTCTTACAGATATTGATAACACCATGCAGCCAGATACAGACAAAACCAGGGTACGAGTTAGGAAACCGGACATGGTTTTGTATGTCCCAAGAGCAAGACGTGAGATGGCAGTCTCAAAAAGTGGCCCTTCCGTGGCCACCCAATGTGGGAGGGAGAGTCACAGCTCCACCACAGAGAAGGAGAGTGTTAAAGCATGCGAGGCAGGACAAAACGCTAAAACTAGGAAAGGACTGCCTCAGAATGATCCGGGAAATGCCAGGACTCGTCAGAAAGAGAGAAGAACTTTTCCCCGGGACTCAAGCCATAGTGATGCATTCTGCCAAAGAAACCCAGGCAGAAAGGCTCAGGGAGAGAAGAGTCCAAAGTTCCCTCAGAAGGCCACATCCCATCCCTTGTTCCCTTCCTCCAGCTTCCCAGACCCAACTCTCACTGGAGTGCGTGAAAGAGAGGCGCATGAGTGCTGTACTGTACAACCTGCTGTCTCGGGGGAAAGAATGGCAGGTTTCCAGCCAGAGATTAGTAATATCAACATCTCATGGAAAAACGAGCATGGATGCCCATCAGAAAGGCAGGACACCGGCAGGACCAAGAGGACAGTAGTGGTCTCAGAAGAAGTAGGACCAGGTGAAGGCGGGATGCAGAATTACTTGGAACAGAAAATGCTAAGCGAAGATAGCAAGTTGCTTTGCAAGAACAACAGAACAAAACCTTTAAGTAAAGGTGGTTCAGAACTGACTGGAATAAGAGAGAACAGTATATCTGGAAGTGCAAACGAGAGGATTCCAGATAACAGAGGGACATATAAGGGTAGTCCATCCATCTGCACAGAGGAAGGAAATTCTGATTTGGCATGCATAAGTAACTGTAATTTGCTGGAGCACATTGATCAAAGCAGCCTGTTTCCTACGGACATAACCAAGTATAATACATGCAAATGTACAGAGCAAAGCAACTCCAGTCAAACAGCAGTGAGTGACAATAGCATCTTAGAATGTGCTGTGGTAGAGCCAAAGGAATGTAATAGAGTTGAAGATACAAAGGAGAGTGTTCCTGCTTCATCGCAAGCAAGTGCGCATGACAACAAGAATGAGAGTTGTGTCTCCCATCGTTCGGTTAACTTTATCTCTGATCAGGCTGGAGTGACTGCGGATAGTAGTGGGAACGTTTTAATTCAGGCGGAGACACATAACCTCCTGGAGAATGCAGAGCAGCTTCCAGATAATTCAAACGTGTCTATAGGTTTTAGTTGTTCAGACAGGACTTCTGAGAACATAGATGATCTGCCCAATTGTGTCTTTAAGGTAGCAGGTGATGAAAAGTTACAGGCAGGTGATAGTGAACATGATAAGGAGAAAAGCCTCTGTCATGAGACAGGCCGGTATCAATTTGACACATTTGAGGCTAAGGCTGCACTGACAACAGCGGAAAGCATTTTGGACTTGGTTGACCAGAGCCCTGACAGCAGAAGTAATGTGGAGCCAATTTGTCCTTCCAAGGAGACTTCCAGCTGGTCTCTGAAGTCTGCCTCTGAGAATGTGGCCTGTGGTCCAGGAAGCATATTGGAGGGAACAGGGACACCCTTGGGAGTGGAAAAGCCAGCTTTGGGGGAACTGGGTACAAGCTTGCAGTATCCCTCTGAAGACAAAGGAGAACAACCCACAAATTGTGTGCCATCTAGTTCGGAAGAGACCACTGACACCAGCACTGATCCTGTAAGTCACAGCGAGGCTGACAACATGGCCGATGAGAGCTGGGACGCCCTGTTTAATGATGATGGGGATTGCTTGGATCCACAGTTCCTGGAGCAGGTGAGTATTCTGGGTGTTGTTGTTTTTCCAGAGTTGAAGCAAAATGGTGAGAACTGCTTGCATGTCAGAGGCATGTGATATGGCCAGCTCGATTCTAGAATACGTTTATATCAAAGCTAGCTCAGTCTGGTCACTTCCTGCTTTTTCCTGGAAGATCAAACCATAATCATCACACATAGAATTCTCTGCTGAAAAATTCAAATCGTGATGCTGAGAGTAAACTGGAAAACCATTCAAAATACATATTTTGTTACATGGTTTTGTAATTTAGTCTAGTATTGTTTCTAAATCTTTTTTTATTTTTGCATTATCTGCATGTTATTGGGAGGTGAAGGAGAGTCAATGTCATTGGAAAATGGTATACAGGGGTAGGAAAATTGGGAAGTAAAAAACTGGAGTCCAATAATCCCTTTTCTGATAGACTTTATTAAAAGGCGTAGACTCATGCCTCGTAATAAAATATGTTAGTTGGAAAAGGTGACTCCTGATTGTTTGCTTCAATATACTAACGTGGCGACTACAGTACCTACAAGAACCAAAGGGAAATTCCAGAAATAATAAAAAGCTCCAACTCTATTGGTGAAAATACACACCCATTTCTTGAACATTTAGTAGAGGTTTGTATTATTTTTTTCCCCTATCCGCCACCCGTGAGGTTTAGTGGTTCACTCAGAAAAACTCTTTATCAGGGATGTGCATTAAATAATATTTTTGGGCTACGTGCTTCCTGTTCTCTTTGACAAATTGCAGGGGGGAACATGCATGGTCTGTGGTAAGAACTGGAAGAAAATTCTGCCTCCTGCATGGCTAGCTTGTAGCACAAACATTGGCGATGAAATCATAAAACAAAGACAAGCAACATGAACGATTATTGATAAATCCCAACACCTGCAGTGGGCTAAAAGCTCAGCAAGGCCAGGCCCTGGAATGCAATAAAGAAATACCCTCCCTTGACAGTATATAAAATGCATGTAATCAAGCAGGCGGAAGTGCTGCGCGCGGGGCCTGCGTTGCCATCGAGCAGCTTCAGCATGATGAACACCAGGCATGGAAAGATGGACTGTGAAGCTTCATGAAAATGGCAGTTTTTTAATTGGCTTTGGCTTGTTAGCATATTGCCCTGTAAGGGTAGCGCTGAGTGCGTGGCAATGAGAAGCACAGCCCAGGGAATGGGCTGCTTTGCCGTCAGTTTACAAGGAAATCTCCGTGTTGGCCTGGATGGCTGAGGACCCTTATTAAAGCTTAAATCAATATCACGGCCTTGTACTTTCAGAGTGTCACAAAGGTACCTAAAGTAACAAAGTACCCTAATATTGCTGCAAACTACATACAGTCTGCTCAGGAGTCAGGGTTGATCTGAGTTGATTCGGCTTGCTTTAATAGCTCCTGCAAACCACTGAAATTAACTAAGAAGGCTCATTACCAAGGCTTAGCTCATAAGCCCTCCTAAATTCTCTATAATGGAACCCGCTAAAACTCTACGGGGCCCACTTTGACAGGAAATGGCTGTGGATTGACTACTGCTTATTCCACTTGTTTACAGTCTAGAAATTAAATCTCTCTTACTAAGCAGATAATCTACCAACCCAGATCACACATGTGGCATATATGGCCAAAAAGAGCTCCGTACCTTCCTGTGTTTTCAGGAGACATGAGAACACCTCGAGTGCAGTCTTTCTTTCCCAGACCAGGAAGAGAAGCAGGAATGCAATTGCGGTGTACATATCAGTGGCACTGGATGTCTGTTTCACAATATAGGCAGGCCTCAGAGGCACCGGGCATCCTTCACCTGTGCCCAGCAAGCGCAAACGAATCCTTGTGCAAGGGAGCATCTTATCATTTACGTTTTTTCTGCAGCTGTGATAACTTGCTTGGTGCGTTGGGCTGAAAAATGAGCAGGGGAATTATTTGTATTCATTCGTTCGTTCGTTCGTTCATTCACTATAGCCACCCATCAATGACTCTGGACAGTTTACAGTTCAAAAATTATATTGCATGCTAGTAGGCATCTGGAAAGGAAAACCCATGTAGATTATCCCGCCTAGGGTTGTGTCCTTTGCTTTCCTTATAGGCTTGGTCTGCTCTGTTGGTATTGTCAGGAAATGGGTGTCTACGCTTAACCAGGTACAGTATCTCTTGCTCCAGCCGCAAAGCCAGTGATCCCTTTGCATTACTATGAATTCCGCATTGTAGAATATTTGTGCTTGGTTGAACTAAGTCTGCGCCTGCTTTTATAAGGGAAATTATATCAGTACACTTTGTGCATTAAATCTTAAAGTTAGGGATCGTTTCTTTTCTCCTACGTCTTTCCTTTTGCTTGGCAGAAAGTGCATCTTCCCTAGCTGGGAAAGTGGAGGTAAAATGTTTTTTAATTCTTTGATTCTTTAAAAAGCTGGGCGATACAGCCTGTCAATGAAGCAGGCTCTTGACCCTTTTTCAGTAGGCACCTCTTACAGCTCACAGACTTCTTCAATTCTAGTAATTGTACTATTGCAGGGGTCTCCAACCTTGGCCACTTTAAGCCTGGCGGACTTC